TCCTCTGTCCTCAGTTTCCATCCAGAAGACTATTTTGTCTGATTTAAAGACAGCCTATCAAATGTGTTTACAGTAAATATTCATGGGAACATCTTACTGTAGTCTTTTACCTCTAAGTCAACCACATCTTCATACATTAAGGGTAAAGTTGCTTGTATTCTTTTACCTAGTCTGACAATTTCTAATTTTTAACAGGAATATGTGGCCCTACAGTGTACAGCAGTATAAACACTGCCCAAGTGTAGCTATTGGTATTTAATGAAAACAAAACTCTGAACAATTCAAATGTAATACCATGGCCATGTATAGTCACTGGATAGTTTGGAACATTGCAAAGATAAAAATGCCCATGCAGGCAAGTTTGATTTAGACTTTTATATTTAATGCAATAATTAGTAAGATTTAAGAAACCCATCTTGCCATTGGTCTTATAGTATTATGTATATGTCCTGTTAACCTTTTTGTTTCACTTTTCCTACCTTTTCTTATTTTTACTGAACTGAAAACATTTTACCACTATATCTTATCTCCACCATTGGCTCATTAACGCTTCTCTCCCTATACACATCCCATAATGGTTTTCAAGAGTGAACAATTTTGCCTCTTAGGGACATTTGGCAAAGTCTCATCTAAAGCTCTGTTTTTCCATGTTGGTGAAGAGGGTGCTACTGGCATCTAGTGGGCAGAGGCTAGAGATGCAGCTGAGCTTCCAACTATGGTTAGCGCCAATCCTCACAAGATGCCCACAATGCAAAGGTTCATAAATCCCGTTCTGAACTTCACTAAATCCACCTCTGATTGCCAGCTTCCTTCAAGTAAGATTCTCGAATGTGAGCATCTCATAGCAGTGCCATCCTACCTCATCCTTCCTACCTTGCTTTTCTTGTCCCATATTGTTGGCTATGGTTCCCAGCATCTACCTAGTCAGATCTATCTCTCTGGGCTCAGTTTTCATTGTAGGAGGTAGATATTCTGTGACAATTAATACAGGAAGTGGGATAAGCATAACCCTGGATATTAGAGATGCTAGCTTCTCAGTAGGTAATTATTATAACTCCTAAGACAGAGGACTTAATCTAAAATGAAGGCACAGAAGGACACACCTAAAGAGAAGCCCAAGTCCCCACACTGACACATGATCTGATATCTATTAACTTGTGCTGCAGCTGCCTCTGTTCTCCAAACATGACAAGGAGACCACAGCCTACTGGACTGGCTGGCAAAGTTTGATTCTAAAGAGAATGTCAGGAATCTTTTGACCTCTGATACATAATCCCGTTTATTTACCTGCATTTAATTGAAGACATCTGTAAGTGGTGCCACACAAAATGTAACTCAGACTCAGAAATGTCAATAAAAATGTCTCTAAGGCAGAAGTAGCACTAAACCTAGCAGGGAAGTATATATACATCAGCAGCTACACAGAGCCACACAAAATTAGAAATATAATAGAAATACGCTGCCTGGCTTGACAAGTGATAAAAGTTCTTTTCCCATAAAGCTTAATGAGTGCTATTAGTCTTCAGGAATGAAAAAGGGTCAGCCCCACAGAGAGAAGTAACCGACTCTGCACACATGGTCCACTCAGTGACAACATATCAGATTACTGACGTAATTACTATAACCTGACAATTTCATTAGATTCATGTGGCAGTTAAATGGCTAAAACTTACAACAAAGGGACCCGGCTCATTCATGGGACTTATTACGGGAAAAGTGAAGTTTAAACTCAGCTTTGTCAACTGCAAGTCTCCCATATCTTACTGTCTCTACTAAAATTATTTTTCTGTTCCTAAAATTTGGAAGGTGACATACCTATCTCTGGCTAAAACATAAGCTTCATAGTAAAATTAAACATGCAGATGCTTCCAGCACCCTCCTGCCTTGGCTTTGCTTTGCCTCTCAGGCAGTGTGTAGTGAAATAAAACTGGCTGAGCTCTGACCTACAGAAGGAGATTTGGGAATGGCTGCCATTCAGCAAACCATCAGGCAGCACTTGTGGTATTCCAAGCTAAAGGAAAATCAACAGAAACCCTCCTGGTATTTCCTACCAGAAAAAGGGGTAGTGACCATCTTTAATTATTTTATCTCCTTATATCAATAAGCTTAATAATAAAATTGTTTTAAAAATCAAGTTGGCCAAGATACAACACAACTTCAAATCACTGAGTGAAAAAAACTAACAGAAAATAACAATCACTCAGTTTTGATCATGATATTCTTCCTTTATACTTTTCACCAAACATGACAGATTCCATACACTCAGCCCCAATATTTAAACCAGAGTAGTTAGTAAACTCTAAGCCATTTCTACAACTGATAGCATTCAAAGGTGCAAAAACAAAGCTTTCCATCTTAAGTGGGTTCGGTCAAACTAGGAAGACTGTTGAGCACATTAAAACACAAACAGTAAGCTTTATTTCCTGTCGCTTGAGCCCTGTCAAATTATGAATAAAAGACCTCTACCCCTAACCTCAGCCCCATCAAGTTTATTTAGTAATCTCTCCATCCATTCACCCACCAACGCATCTACCCAAAAAATATTTATTAAAGTTGTGCCTACTATGTATGTACAATTTATTGCACTAAAAATAGTAACATAGGAAAATAAGGTCCTCTTCTCACTGAACTTAAATTAAATAGAAATTTACTCGTAAATCAGTGGTTTTCAACATGTGGGTCATGATCCTTTTGAGGGCTGACCGTCCCTTTCACAGGGGTCTCATATCAGATATCCTATATATCAAATATTTACATTACAATTCATAACAGTAGCAAATATAAAGTATCAATGAAATAATTTTATGGTTGAAGATCCCTACAACATGAGGAACTGTGTGAAAGGGTCACAGCATTAGGAAGGTTGAGAACCACTGCTCTAAATGCTACTTGGTTAGTGATGTGGACCTCTAACTCTATCTTCCTTACTAACACTCCACATGGAAGCAGCTCGACCTAATGCTACTGCTTTAAGCTGAATCTCTAACATTACTAATACACAACTGCATTATCGTGTATCACTTACACTTATTTTATCAACTACTTACAGCACTTAACACAATTTTGTGCAAAAGAAATAGAAAAGATAGTTTATCTATTCAAAGAGATTTTCTTAAATAAATCTTTTACTTTCTCCAAACTGCCTTAGTTTTCAAAGATTTATTCATTTTTATGTGTACGAGTCTTTTGTGTGCATGTATGTATGTGTACTTCATGCATGCCTGTGGCCCAAAGAGGACAGAAAAGGATATTTGATGCCCTGGAATTCGAGTTACAGGTTTGGGAGCACAGTGCAAATGCTAGGAAACAAACCCAGGTTGTCTGTAAGAGCAGCAAGTAAGCTATCTCTCTAGGCCCTGAATTACCTTTAACTACGTTTTCATATACAAAACTATGTCTCTTTACATAGCCAAACAAAATTTTCTAGCCTTTTCTGGCTCATACTTCTCATTTCTATGACCAAAGGGTACTTCCTCAACTTCAGCAGATAAAAAAAATGAATATTGTCTCTAAGTTTCTTATTGATTTTTGATTTCTACTTTATTATTTAAAATTTCCTGAACTATTGTCAGTGTTGGCCACAAATCACTTCATTTAATTATAATAACCTTGTAAGTGTTATCGCCATTTTCAGATTTGGCGGTTGCAGCCCAGAATTAAATGACTTGCCCGCGGGCCACCCATGTCCCTCTCACTCACAGCACAGCACCCTTCCACTGTAAGACTGAGCGATTAGAAAACGTGGCCAAACCAGGTTAACACAGGCTTCTCTGGTCTGGTTCATTTCCCCTAGTGATGATTCAAACTAGTCATAGGCCATCACTCATCATTAAGAAGAATAATTTCAATAATTAAATGAAATCATTATTATAAAACCATTAAAAAAAGAACAACTCTCAGTGTATAAGGAGATCAGAGATGGTCTCATAAAGAATATAAGGCTATGGCCCACACCTTTAATCCCAGCACTCAGGAGGCAGAGGCAGGTGGATCTCTGTGAGTTCGAGGCCGGCCTGGTCTAATCTACAATGGGAGTTCCCTGACAGTCAGTGCGTTACACAGAGAAACTCTATCTAGAAAAACAACAAACAAACAAACAAAAAATTAAGGCAGTGGCTCAACTCTGAAAAAAAGGAAGAGTATGATCTGAGACTGGGACCTGAGAAGGGGCTCTTAAAGTGAAACAAACAACAGAAGCAAAGAGAAAGACAAGCGTAAGACCAGAAAGAAAAAAAAAAAATACTAAGATTGGAGCAAAAAGAAAAGTCTATTTAAAAAATATTACAGGATTTGAACAGCACAATTCTCTTCAGAAATCTGTTGCCTTATCTGAAAGGATGGCTTTGGAAAGTTGATTGTTAATTATAGTGTGGCTAGTAAGTAAAGATACATAGTAAATACTGGCTTGGCTTCAAGGCCAGCCTCAACTCACAGTGCTCTGCTTTTTCTGTTCTGCCTTTTCTAAGTCTCCACAATCATCTACAAGCTTTTTTTGCAACCACAGCTCACATGATTCTGGTTCTCTGAACATCTAGTAACTTTTTTTTTAATGTCACAATTTATCCCTGTCTGAGTTCCAAAGCACCAAGAACAATGCCTGCAACAAAACGAGTGCTCAGTGCCAGGGAGGGTCCTCTGCTCCTCTGGTCTCTTACCCAGGTGAAGCCTCCTTGATGACAGCTCTTGCATACTCACCTCTGCTGAAGCATGATAGTGATTTAAGCAGGGATGAAGCAACACAGGGATCATAGAAATAGAATCTAGGGCTGAATCCTCTCTATTTACTGAGAAAGAAAATGTACCTAAAGGGACAGTAACTAGTTACAAAGGTGAATAGTTCTTACCAAAAAAAATGGCTATGCTCATCCCATTACTATTACTGAAAAAATGTATTGCTTTAGAAAATCACTCCTAAATTATCAAATAAATGCCTGATGGAAGACCAAGCAGAGCTACTCTACTGACGATGCTAACGTGCAGATCTGAGAGCAGTCTCTTACCTCCAATGGTGAGTCAACAAGGAATCTTGTGAACTGCAGAGTCCAGTATGAACAGGATCAATTTCGTCCAGGAAAGGGGCAATAAGAAAGAACACAAAAAGAAAAAACATCATACAATTTCCCAGTAAGAGCATTTGAAGCCAAAGTCTGTACAAAGGTAATATTTTCCATAATGTATAACCCATCCAGAGCACAGATAGTTCAACTCAGTCCATAAAAAGTACTCAACTATTTGAATTAGTTTCCATAAACAACCCTAAATATCTGTGTCAAAGCAAATACAGGACAATTAGTCCTAAAATGGTTTCATTTTTAAGTTTTATCTCACAACCTCTGAACATAAAGCAAACAAAAATAACCAGTAAGAAAGGAATCAACAATCTTTCTGATCCTAAATGTAGACCAAGGCTTGGTTAACGCCAAGAAAAGGTGAAAATGCACAATTCAAGACCCAGAAGAGAGAGTGGCGTCCCCACATTTTGGCACTTCTGTCTTGTATACTCTATCATCTCTCTTCATCCCATATCCCTTTCTCCTACCTCCCTATCAACACAGGGAATACAAATCATTTCTATTCTCTCTGGAAGAGCTAGGAATTTAGTAAGAACACTTGACCATCCTGGAGGAGGTCTCGGGTTTGAGCCCCAAAACTGCGAGAGGAAGGGACTGAAATATCAGTCCAATTATATAATATCTGGGATTTCCTTCTACATCATTGGAAGAAGCTGTAGAGGTAACTAACAGAATTAAATAAAACAAACTTCATATTACAGCAATGAGTGTAAGAGATAAAGACAGAGGACTCCTTCATACATGGTTAGCACCACTCAGTGTTCAGTTTTCTAAAAGAAACTTCCCTTGACACAGTTTTTAAAAAGTATCAGCTACACCCTCCCTGAACTATAAAATATAATCCTAAAATAACACTGGGCATGTCAAAGCTACTAGTATAATCTAGGCTCTAGATGGCAAGATTCATTAAAATACAGAAACTATGAGGTTTTTTCTTTAATAACAAACAATTCTATTGTTAGAACTCTTCTGAAAGTACACGGTATACCAAATGCTGTTTTCATAATGCTAGTATGGCACAATTATTTTTATAGTAATGCAAATTTTATGGTCTTGATGTCTTTTGCAATAGCTCAGACTAAGAAAATAAATACACCTCTTCCCCAAAGCAGAAAGTGCCAGTTGAGATACTAGATCATTTTAATAATGGAGAGCAACAGGGAACAGCAAATTTTTATTTTTAAGACAGAACTCTGATATTATAAGGTTTCTATTCTTTATTCCTATATGTACATACGAACTATGCTATATGCATATTTTGGCGATTTGTAAGCAACCCCACCCAAGTGTAGTAGCAACTGATGCATCAACCAAGATAGCAGTCAGTTTAAATAACAAACAAGAACTATGTAAAGGCTGTTTAAGGAAGCTAATGTCTTCTTGAGGCCCAACAATTTACACACACACCCTAGCATGTGTATTTGTAACAAGTACAGTTAACATTAGTGATGCCCAGTTTTCAAAATAAGAAACCTGAAATGCTCATCATGGTTAAACTGCCAAAATATGAAATGTGTTAAGTTTTCAACCTTAAAGCAGTAAAAACTGAATAATAAACCACAAGACACATACATACTATTCCTAGGACATGAAAAAGATTTCAAAAATGCTTCCTCTCCATCAGTGTGAAGGTGAAGCTAGTTGCCTTGTTCCACTTCAGTCAGCTGGGAGTTGAGTAGTCTGGGATCTCATTGACTCTACATACTCATGAGTCACTTAAGTCATTGTGCCTCTTTTCTTTTTAATCTGTAAACCAACTTCAGCCCACTACTTTCCCAAGCTGTGCCTCATGAATGCCAAGTCCTAAAGACACTTACATCTGTGATTTCAGGTCCAAATACGCTTAGTAATGCTGTAAGCTACAGCCGCCTAACCTCCCCTTTGCCTTACCAGAACTACAAGGAGTACAGACAAAGGACTCTTCCGACTCTCACGTTTACAAAAAGTTGACTTTCATTTAAGATAGTGTTTGCAAAGTTACTTAAGGAACTTGTATTTGCTTAAATTTCATGTAAGCCCTATCAACACTGCACAGAGCATGTTATACAGCTCAAATTTATGTTTTGTTTTTGTTCTTTTTTTGTTTCTTTTGTTTGTTTTTCAAGACAGGGTTTCTTGTCCCTGTCTTGTCCCTGGCTGTTCTGGAACTCACTCTTTAGGCCAGGCTGGCCTCAGACTCACAAAAATCCACCTGCCTCTGCCTCCTAAGTGCTGGGATTAAAGATCTGTGCAACCACATCTGTCAGATTTATGTTAATTTTTACAAGGAAAATTACTTCTAAATTCCTCCTAGAGAGGCTCCAAATAAATCATGAAAACCACAGACGAGAGATCCTATCTCAGAACCACCTGCTGGAATGTAAGGACCCCACACCAACTGCTCCTCCACATACATGTAACACACACACAAATTCAAACCACCTGCTGCAGTGTGAGGACCACACACCAACTGCTCCTCCACACACATGTAACACACATGTACACAGAGAGAGAATTCAAACCACCTGCTGGTGTGAATGAGGATGCCCTACACCAACTGCTCCTCTACACACATGTACAATCACACACAAAATTCAAATTAACCTTGAAAAATGAGATACCTTCCAAAAATCAGAATAAAATAAATTGAGGAAAAACAGAAAATACCACAAAACCTACAAATCAAAATTAGCATTTGTTATTATTTATTTTCTTAATGACTGACAGTCTGACTGGAGTAAGAAATCTCAATATAGTTTTTATTTACATTTCTCTGATGGATAGTGAGGTTGGAACATTTTTTTCATGTTAACTGGCCATTTGTATTTCTTTTTTCACAAATTGTCAGCTCCTCAGCCCATGTTTTGATTAGGTTGTTTGTTTCCATATTGTTTAGAGGTCTTTTTTGTATATTCTAGATATTAATTCTCTGTCAGATGGATATCTGACAAAGACTTCCTCCAACTCTATGAGCTGCCTCTTCACTCAATTAACTACTTCCGTTCCTGTACAGAAGCTTTTTATCATGAAGTCCCATTTGTCAATTGATGGCCTTACTTCCAAGGCAACTAGGATCCTGTTCAGAAAGTCCTTACCTCTGCCTCTATCTGGAAGTATTTTCTCTATATTTTCTTATAACACTTTTGGAGTTCCAAGTCTTACACTGAAGTCTCTGACATTTGAAGTTGACTGTTGTGAAGGGTGAGAGGTAACACACTAATTTCTTTTTTCTATTAGGGATATCCAATTGCCAACAACACTGTTAACAAAGCTATCATTTCTCCAATGTGCATTTTCAGATCTTCGTCAAAAATCAGACGATTTGAGCTTGTGCTGATGTATGTAGACCTTTTGTTCTGTTCCACAGATCAACTTGACCTATTTTTGTGCCAGTATCATGCTGTTTACTTACTATGCCTCTGTAATATAATTTGAAATCATCAGTATTCTTTTTCCTTAGGACTGCTTTGGCTATCATTATGCTTCCAAATGAATTTGAAGATTTATTTTCCTATATCTGTGAACAATGGCACTGGAATTTTGATGGAGATTGCACTGAATCTGTAGGCTGCTTTTGGTTAATACAGATACTTTCACTATTTTAATTCTTCCAACCAATGAACAGGAGGCCTTTCTGATTCATAGTACCTTCTTCAGTTTCTGTCACCAACATTTTAAAGCTGTAGTGGTCTTTCTATGCTGGTAGAAATGAAAACTAGTCCAGTTTCTGTGGAAATTAGTATGGACATTTCTCAAAAAAACTAGAAATAAAGAGTCACACATGGTGGCACATGCCTTTAATCCTAGCACTTGGGAGGCAGGGGCTGGCAGATCTCTAGGTTCAAGGGTAGCCTGATCTACAGAGTGAGTTTCAGGACAGTCAGGGCTACACAGAGAAACCCTGCCTGTGAAAAACAACAACAACAAACCCACAAGAAATACATCTATCACATTTATGTTAGGGACTCCAAAGAAACATATGGCAAAGACACTTAGGTATCAGCATTTACTGCAACACTATTTTAAAGTTCATTTTTCTTATTTCCTAGCTAGAATGTGCAAGACTCTGCCTTACTCACTGAGCATCTTATACCATAAGAACAGAAACACACAGGAAATTAAAACGTTCCTATGATTTGGTAAATAAAGGAATCACGTTCTTCTACAAGCCAGGAAAAGAAATATGGAAGTTATCCTAACTGTAAATTTTTGAGCTGTTTCTAGAACAACTGTTATGTAAGAGTACAGAAAATATGCACAAATATTTATAAACCAACATAAATATTCTGTATTTGGACATACTTAGGGCAAAATTACTCTCTGGATATTTCTTTACTTTTTTAATTAAAAACTATAAAAAATCAACTACTATAAATCATGCAAGCACTTGCCTAAAATTATTTGGCATACACAATGAACAGCAAAAACACAAGCATTCCCTGTTTAGACTAGGAATCAGTAGGTAGTAATGTTCACTTGATAAGTTCCTCAGATGTGATAAGAAAAGTGATCTAAACAGAAAGCCTGAAGATTTTATCTTTGGTACTTGCAACAAGAGTGAGTATTCCTATTGCATGAGTTTTGCACTTGCTAAAATGTGCTTAACTCATTATAGGTAAATATCGTAATGCTGGCTCAGAAAATTAAAAGCAGAGTTTATTTATTATAGGAAGACAACTGTCAAGAGCTTTTGACATCATTAAAATTTTCCTTTTTCTTCCTGAATAGTTTACAATTTGACAACTAAATTCTCTCTCCAGTGTTTCTTAAAAACTGTAAACTCTGAGGCTCATTCATTGGCCAAAGTTCCCTGGCCTTCAATACTGTGCCTTTCTTCAGACTGGCAAAACAATTTTCTAAACTGGAATAACAAACACAAAGTATGTGACAGACTTTAGTAACCTAACAGAGCTAATTTATCAAAAGGAAAAAACTAGTACAAGTCTAAGCAGGTTCAGCCACTAGTGGACACCCAGAGATGC